CGGGCACCTGAGTGGCACCATCCGCTACGAGTCGCCCGTTATCAGGGGCGTCCAGGAGGGGGCGGAGCCGGGGGCGGGGACGCCGCGGGAGGGACGCGCCGCCCATCTTGACTCTCGACGTTCCGCCACGTCCAGACTTTTCCCATTACAGGAGATAAAGGGAGCGATCGCCGAGTCCTAACCATCTCTTGGAATTCCTCCGAGAGGGCCCTCAGACCCATAGGAACACACTAATCATAGTTCATCATATATCTACACCCCCTCGTGGCCAGCGCCCCTCAAGTATCTTTTATCTCTCTCTGTCTCCGCGACTTCTCGGTTTTAACGCCTCGGTGTCCTACATCTTTATCTCGCTTTCCCTCTCCCCTTCCATGACTCTCTGCGTCTATCACGTCGCCCTCTGCCTCGTTTACTTCCATTGTTTCTACTCAAACTTATTCTCTCTCTTTGTCTATGCCTCCTTGTCTTTGGTACTTCTTTTTAATCATGTATCTTGGTTTTGTTTTCTTCTCTCTTCACAGTGTCTCTTCCTGTTCATCGTCATCTCTCTATGCCTCTATGCTGTCTTCTTCTATTCTTATTATTCGAATTATTTTCTCATTTTCGTATCTCCGACTTTGTGACGTCATTCATGTTTATATCCAGAAGCATATACAGAGATATAAATGCATTTACATTATATGATACTACAAGGCGATGAAGAGAAGATTGTCAACATGAAGTCAAATGAAAGAATAAGCAATAAATGAAGGAACAAGCAATCAACCAAATAAGGAACACGAACCAAATTAAGGAATTCTCACCCCAGCCACAAATCACGCCCACGTATTGTATAGTTCTCCTTGCCCCATTAAAGCCTTCTCCTCTCCCCTTCTCTTGCGCCCCCCCCCCCCCCGTGTCCCTCCTTCTCCCTCCCCCCCCCCTTTCCCATCAATCCTTCCCTCTTTATTCTCACCTCTTTCACCCCACCCCCCTTCCGTGGGAAATCCGATTTCTCCTTCCCCTTTTCCACCCCTTCCCCCCCCATTGCCACTTAGCACTCCCCCCCCCACCCCCCCAACCCGTCACCCCTTCATTCACGCATCTTTCCCCCCAACTCATAACCTCCCTACCCCCCCCCTCCTTGTCATCTCCGTATCACCCTCCCTTTCACCCTCCCCTACCCACACCCCTGCCACCCCTACCCCCCCTTTCTCTCCCCCCCCTTTCTCTCCCCCCCCCACTGAACCCTCCGCTCGTCAACCCCCCCCCCCCCCCCTCTCTCTCTCTCCCCTTTTACCCCCTCCTGTGACGCACGTGGGACAAGCAAGTTTAATTTCGGCTCGGCAAAAGATCTCGAGATGGAGTCATATCCTTAAACTTCTTCGGGGATCATGGCGACGCCGGGGAGCAGATTGAGGGGGGGGAGGGGAGGTGGTGGAGTTAGTGGAGAAGGAGGAGGAATAGATTTGGGGGGGGGAGGGGAGGAAGTGGTGGAGTTAGCGAAGTAGGAGGAGGAGGAGAAGGAGGTGGCGGAGGTAGTGGAGGAGGTGTTAGTGGAGGAGGAGGAGGAGGAGGAGGAGGAAGGAGAAGGAAGGGGAGAGGAGGAGGTGGTGGATTTAGAGGGAAGGGGGAGGAAGGGGAGGAGTGGGAAGGACTTAGTGGAGAATGAGGAGGGGAAGGAGTAGATGGTTGGGGAGGAGGAAGAGAAGCCACTGGAGGAGGAGGTAGTGAAGGATTAAGTGTTGGTCGAGGAGGAAGTGGTGAAAGAGGAAACAGTGAAGGAAGTAGTGGAATAGAAATTGGTGGCGGGGGAGGAGGTGGAGGAGTGGGAAGAAAGTGGTTGGAGAAAGTAACGTTGATGGAGAAAATATGGAGTTGGTGGAGTGATATGAAAGAGGTTGGAGAAAGTGACGTTGATAGAGAAAATACGTAGGCTGTGGAAAGGAAAGAGAAAGTAATGTTGATGGAGAAAATATGGAATTAGTGGAGTTATTGCCGAGGGAGAGAAAGTGGAGTAGGAGGAGGCAGCGGAGCACGAAGTTGGATGCAAAAAGCGGTGGTCGAGATGGTCTCTGTGGTGGTCTCTGAAGTGGCTGAAGAGGGGAGACGGTGAGCGGTGGATGAGGGAGAGAAGGTGGCGGTGAACGAGGTAATGAAAGTGGATGATGGCGGGAAAAAAAGGGACGAAGAAGGGATGACGATGATGGAGAAAGTGATCGGGGGATTGTAAATGATGGAGCAAAGTGTGCGAACAAGGTGGAGGCGAAGATGGTGGCAGCGGAAAGTGGAGAACAGTAGAAACAGTCCGATAACTAAGGCAATAACGAAGAAGGAAAAGGTGACAGAGACGTTACTGGAAGAGGAAGATAAAGGAGGTGGATGAAGAGGCGACGATCAGCGGGGAATAAAAGGATTACAGAGCCGTAATTCAAGAGGACGACGATGAAGGAGGAAAAGGAGGAGAAGAAGAAGAAGGAGAAGGAAGAGCAGAATGAGGAAGAAGAAGAAGAAGGAGAAGGAAGAGCAGAATGAGGAAGAAGAAGGAGAAGGAGAAGGAAGAGCAGAATGAGGAAGAAGGAGAAGGAAGAGCAGAATGAGGAAGGAGAAGAAGAAGGGGAAGGAAGAGCAGAACGAGGAAGAAGGAGAAGAAGGAGAAAGAAGAGCAGAATGAGGAAGAAGAAGGAGAAGGAGAAGGAAGAGCAGAATAAGGAAGAAGGAGAAGGAAGAGCAGAATGAGGAAGAAGAAGAAGAAGAAGGAGAAGGAAGGGCAGAATGAGGAAGAAGGAGAAGAAGGAGAAGGAAGAGTAGAATGAGGAAGAAGGAGAAGAAGGAGAAGGAAGAGCAGAATGAGGAAGAAGGAGAAGAAGGAGAAAGAAGAGCAGAATGAGGAAGAAGGAGAAGAAGGAGAAGGAAGAGCAGAATGAGGAAGAAGGAGAAGGAAGAGCAGAATGAGGAAGAAGGAGAAGGAGAAGGAAGAGCAGAATGAGGAAGAAGGAGAAGGAGAAGGGAGAGCAGAATGAGGAAGAAGAAGAAGAAGGAGAAGGAAGAGCAGAATAAGGAAGAAGAAGAAAAAGGAGAAGGAAGAGCAGAATAAGGAAGAAGGAGAAGGAAGAGCAGAATGAGGAAGAAGGAGAAGAAGGAGAAGGAAGAGTAGAATGAGGAAGAAGGAGAAGAAGGAGAAGGAAGAGCAGAATGAGGAAGAATGAGGAAGAAGGAGAAGGAGAAGGAAGAGCAGAATGAGGAAGAAGGAGAAGGAGAAGGAAGAGCAGAATGAGGAAGAAGGAGAAGGAGAAGGAAGAGCAGAATGAGGGAGAAGGAGAAGGAGAAGGGAGACCAGAATGAGGAAGAAGAAGAAGAAGGAGAAGGAAGAGCAGAATGAGGAAGAAGGAGAAGGAGAAGGAAGAGCAGAATAAGGAAGAAGAAGAAAAAGGAGAAGGAAGAGCAGAATGAGGAAGAAGAAGGAGAAGGAAGAGCAGAATGAGGAAGAAGGAGAAGAAGGAGAAGGAAGAGCAGAATGAGGAAGAAGGAGAAGGAGAAGGAGAAGGAAGAGCAGAATGAGGAAGAAGAAGAAGAAGGAGAAGGAAGAGAAGGAAGAGCAGAATGAGGAAAAAGAATAAGAAGGAGAAGGAAGAGCAGAATGAGGAAGAAGGAGAAGAAGGAGAAGGAAGAGCAGAATGAGGAAGAAGGAGAAGGAGAAGGAGAAGGAAGAGCAGAATGAGGAAGAAGAAGAAGAAGGAGAAGGAAGAGCAGAATGAGGAAGAAGGAGAAGAAGGAGAAGGAAGAGAAGGAAGAGCAGAATGAGGAAAAAGAATAAGAAGGAGAAGGAAGAGCAGAATGAGGAAGAAGGAGAAGAAGGAGAAGGAAGAGCAGAATGAGGAAGAAGGAGAAGGAGAAGGAGAAGGAAGAGCAGAATGAGGAAGAAGAAGAAGAAGGAGAAGGAAGAGCAGAATGAGGAAGAAGGAGAAGAAGGAGAAGGAAGAGAAGGAAGAGCAGAATGAGGAAAAAGAATAAGAAGGAGAAGGAAGAGCAGAATGAGGAAGAAGGAGAAGAAGGAGAAGGAAGAGCAGAATGAGGAAGAAGGAGAAGGAGAAGGAGAAGGAAGAGCAGAATGAGGAAGAAGAAGAAGAAGGAGAAGGAAGAGAAGGAAGAGCAGAATGAGGAAAAAGAATAAGAAGGAGAAGGAAGAGCAGAATGAGGAAGAAGAGGAGGAAAGGAGAAGTACTATAAGCGAGGCAAAGGCGGAAGCAGGAGACGGAGGAGAAAAGAGAAGAGTAGGTGAACTTGTAAAGGAAGGATGGAGAGGAGAGGGAAGAGGAGGCGATAAGTAGAAAGAGGAAGAGGAGCACGAAAGAGAGGAATGTTGATGCGACCTTTGCGAGGGAAGGATGATACAGCAGAATAGTAGGAGAAGAAGGAGAGGAAAATAAAGCCAGAAAGAGAGAGAGAAGAATATGAATGAGAAGAAACAAAGTTAGAAAGAGAGGGAGAGATAGACGAGGAGAAAAAGGAGGAAAGGGAAAGGAAGGCAGAAAGAGAGAGAAAATGACGAGGAGAAGAAGGAGGCAAAGAAAGGGGGGAATGGAAAAGGAGAGAAAATGGAGGAAGGAGAAAAGGAGGCATAGAAGAGAAGGAAGAAGAGGCAGTGAGAAGGGGGAGAAGGTAGAGCTGGAAGACGGAGGAAGAGACAGAAGAAGGGGCAATAAAGGGAGAAAGAGAAGGTAAGGAGATGAAAAAAGGACAAAAATGAAGAATAGGAATAAGAAGGGGGAAGAGGATGAGGGAGAAGGAGAAGAAGGAGAGGAGGGGAGGGAAATGATAGAAGAGGAAAGGGGAGTAAAAGAGGGAAGCAGAAGGTGAATAAAGAAGAGGAGAAATAAAAACGAAAGAGGAAAATAAGATAAAAAAAGGACAAAGAAAGGGAGAAGAAATAACGAGTGAGGAAGCGAACAGGGGAAAGGGATTAGACGACAAGAAGAGGGAGGAGAGGAAGGGAGGAGAACGGGGAGGGAGGAGAGGAG